AGCATTACACCTTCCATAAATGAGTTCTCTTCCTTTTTTAGCAATATCCTTGGGTTCCCCAACTGAAAACAAATTATCTTCAAATCATTGACTCAGCCTTCTCAAAGCATTTAAGAGTGTAATTGTGATACTATAATTTAGAGGCACAGAAGAAGGTTATTTTTACTGGTCGTGTTCATGATTCACCCCTGCTATTTTATTTGCCTTACGTTTAGTGGCTGCAGCAGGCACCAATTGGACTCCAACTGATAGAGACAGCACGTGGGAGGAGGTGTGGGGTCCCACAAAGGGCTTGCAGCTGTTGAGAGAGCAATTGGATTAGGCAGCCAAGACCAGAAGCATCTGGTAAAACTGACATTTTTTCACAAAATTGACGTTTCTGTCATAAACGATAATTCCCAGCTTTATTTTTACTACATTTAGGAAATACTTTTGTTAGTGGGTGAATGAGAAAATTGGGGTAGTTCTCTGTTTGGTTATCCATTTCTGCAGTGAAAGGGAGGGAGACCCCCTTCTCTGGGCACCATAAAGGCAAAGAAGTCATATGCCTTTGTCTGCAGAACAGAGAGGGCAAGGTGTGAGGACAGATATGAGAATTTTTTCCCTTTGTGGATCCAAGGAAGCTTGAGAAGTTTGCTAGGATGAATCTCAGGGAAAACTACAGAAATTTCACTAGTGAGAGGTGTGAATCAAAGTTATCAATCAGAAGTCAAACATCATCAAACAGATATCCCAAAATATCTCTGAATTTGTTTTCAAATTACCCAGTTCTCCTTTTCCTAAATATGGACTGAGTGCCCTGTTAGCCCTGAGGGATGGTTCCAATGGAAAGAAGCAGAAGGAAGTGGTATCTAGAACAAGGCTGAGTCATTTCATTTCTAAGTGTCTCTTGGGAAGCTGGGGTGTTCACAGGAACAGTGTGGCGATATTGTCAACCCCAAATAATGCTCAAGTGCGAAACCTAGGACAATCTGAAAGCAAAGTTAGCCATAGTCATGGCCGAAGGTTTTCTGGGCTAACAATGAAGCTTCCTTACCCAGGTATAACCCAAAGGTCAACCTATCATTGCTCATAACGATTACCATGTAAACATTTACCCAATACCTACGGCTATGGCTATTAGAAATTAGAACAAATAAAAAGTGTCTTCTGGATCTGAAATCCTGGTAAAGAGGAGGTGAGGAACAAGCTCAGATACATGAAATATGGATGATAGTAGATGGTGCAATATGCAAGAAAGGGGACTACTAGTAGTAGTTTCAACTTAAATCAGGAAAGTGAGCACTGGTCTCACTGAGAACAGATTTGCTTCAGTAAGGAAGGAAGCCTGCAGTTAGCTGAGGGCAGCACACTTCAGGGAGAGGCAGAGAGTAGAGGCACGGCAGAGAGGTGAGTAAAGGAGAGACCGATCCATGAGCTCAGGGTAATAAAAGGGGGGACACTCTGAGTGAAATGAAAACGGAGTACTTACCACAATCCATGCTTTGAAGGGGGTACTTTTTAACAAATACTCTCTCTAGTATTACCCAACAGATAATATTAACTTCTTTATCAGATAAGACAACCACAGTCAAAGCTCAAGTTTTTAAATTTTCCCAAATCATACAGCTAGGAAATGGAAAAGCCAAAAAGGCAACCTAGAGGTGCCAGAGTTTTCACCCAAGCATCCTGCAGGACAGGCAAGATTCAAAGTCCCTGGACAGAGGGTAACCTGCCAAGCCGGGGCTGCTTGAAAGCAATCCTTTTGTGAAACAGTGGCCATAAAATGTCCCTGTAGTTATTTCTCTCTTAGATCACAAATGCCACCCACTTTGGAAAACTCCAAAATTAGGGTTTCCAAGACAAGTATGTATGCAAATCATTTGGAGAACTTTCTAAAAACACTGATTCCAATGTCCCATCTGAAACTATGAATCAGGAAATTATGGTTCCCACATTTTTTATTTGGTTTTGGTACTGGGGATTGGACCCAGGAACATTTAACCACTGAGGCACATCCCCAGCCCTATTTCTTTCCAGACAGGACCTAACTGAGTTGCTTAGGACCTAACTGAGTTGCTTAGGGCATTGCTAAGTTGCTGAGGTTAGTTTTGAACTCATGATCCTCCTGCCTCAGCCTCCTGAGCCATTGGGATTACAGGCATACCCCACCACACCCAGCTCCCAAATGTTTTGGATGATGCAACTCTTTTTTCATGTAATACCTCATAGAAATATTAGAAAGAAGACATACTGAAAGTAAAACCACGAATATAAATCTTCAGAGAGTGTACAGATTTAGATGCCAACAAATTAAAGAACAAAAGTAAATGCCTCATTTGTGGTTTAGTTGATTGTTCAGTTAATTGATTTACTTATCTGTTACTTTATTTTTACATTTTTGGCTCAGAGCTACTGAGTACTCCGTAAATGTGCTGAGCTGACGGTTTTTGAAATAACCCTTTTTGTAGTCTACTTACTACCTTTAACAAATAAATGCAGCACTTGACCTGTTAAAAACAAAAATTCAAAGCCAAGGAAAATAAATGGTTTTAGTTTAAACTTTTCACTATCCCTTTTTATACCTGTAATTTCACCATGTTTATAACAGAGAAGTGAATTCTGCTTTCTTAAGAAATAATAGGATAATTTCCAAAAGAATGACATGAACAGCAATTGTTTAAAAAATCCAAATAGACATAATGTTTATGTACATACATGTGTTGGTTTACAAAAAGTGTTTTGACAGTGATCATGAGATGGCTTTGATTTATGAAATTATTGAAAATGCTATGGAGCTAGGATAACTTGCTATGGCACCATGTAAGCCACAGGTTCCCTACTATTGCTGTTGAATTGGGGAAGGCAGAAATCTCCTCCTGGAAGAACCTGAGAATTTGGGTGCTCTGGAGAGGCCAAGTCCCTCACACTTCTCCCACCACCCTTTCTGCTCTCAGTGCCCAAGCACAAATGAACAATCCCTAATACAAACCAGGTCCTACCCAGCCACACAGCTCAGATCTTTGGTTTGCTTTGGTTTCCTTTGTTTCTTTGTTTTCCAGGTTGTTGACTAGAAGACCATCGTCTGCTTGAAACAGAGCAGAGCAAACATTACAGAATCCCTTCGGACTGGAGATCAGTGAATGTTCATTTTAAAAATCACTTCCAGATAACTTCCCCCCCCCTCCAAATCCTTTTAAGTATTTGAATGTGTCTTACTCAGAAATGGCTGAAGTGAAAGTGACTCTTGTCTACTGGCTGAGGGAATTTTCGCTTATATAAATGAAATGGTCATAAAAGCCACATTCAGAAAAGCCTCTTTACTGACAGTCTTAAGTATATAGGTGCAGATTGCGGCTCTAATTCTCAGTCCTCCTCCCCTTAAGTTAAGCAGAGCATGTGCCTAGCCCTGGTTGATGGGCTGAGGGTGGAAAAATTCAATTCCCCAGGAAAGCCCTTCAGCACCTGTCCCTCTGCCATGTCAATCACAGAGCAAGTTCCACGCAGGGGTGACAGGGACCTGAGATTAAGATAACTGTATTTAAGGGTGATCATGTGGAGAACTTGCAATAGACTTTTTACAATTAAAAAAAAAAAAACCTTTGTTGAGTTAGCTTACTGAAATGTAGGTGCTCTTTGTTATTAGAACATAGTCTGATTAATGCAGTATACACTAGAGAAAAGTTTACTGATGCCAGCATCCTAGTAACTTCATTATAGAGGAGTCACCAACAGACATTCTGTATCATGGCCAAGCATTTACAATGTTTTTCTCCCTTGTTGTTTTATATATATATGATTTATATAGAGGATCTAACATTTAGATGTTAGATCTATTTTTTTATTCTTTGATTCCCATACTAGTACTAATTTATGTCATCTTTCCAAGCTCACATAGCTATCACTTTCCACAGCAAATTCCTGGTTAACAATACAGGCTTTAGAATGGAGCAGATTCAGACTTAAGCCACTTACTCCATGTTCTGTACTTCAGTTTCTTAGTGCAGAACGTCAACAATTTAACTTACCATATAAGTTTGGGTTTTTGTTTTGAAGATAGACAAGACGCATCCACATGAACCATTTAGCATAGAACAGTGTCTGAATAAATGTTTCAAGTGATTTAAAGAAGAAAACTCACATTTCCTAAGCAGAGGTTACAGCTTTGCATGAATTGTCTTACTTAAAACTTGCAGCAACCCTGCCGGTTAGGTGTCACACCCACTAAGGACATAAAGGCTCAAAGAGGTTAACAAATCTGCTCAAGCTCACAAAAACAGTCAGTAAGAAAACTGTGAGGGGAGCCCTCTGTCCTGTGTCAGACTTGCTGACCCCATCTCCACCCGGAGCCCTTTCCTCACCATTGTACAGCGCCCTGAGAGGGAAGTTTTCTAAGCATGTGTTTTTTAAAAGTGTGAAAAGGCAACAACTAAAATTTACTGTAAAAATTCACTCACAATGACTAACCAGTAGTTTAAACATTTATAGTATTATTATTATTAAGCCACATTTTAATTATATTAAAAATAAGTCAAGCTTACACCATCAAGTACCATTTACTGACATTTTTTTTTCCTTAATTCTTAGCTCCTCAAACCTGTGCCTCTTTGTTCAAAAACATGGCTGGTTAGGTTAAAGCCACTTGGGAAAATTTGTTGATTCGGTGGAACTGATACTTTTCTCTTTATAGAAGTCACTTTTGGAACACAAATTTTAAAAATTTCTAGCCAATATCTATTGCTGAGAACTTTATGAGAACGAAGTAAATGTTTGGCATTCTTTCCTTCTGTAGGCGTTATATTTTGTTTCTCTAATTTCTTTGGGGGGGGTGGTCCTGTTACCTAAAGAACCCCTGTAATAAGCATTTATGAATTATAGCCTTCAAAGACCTCATCCCACAGGTCACCAGAAACCAAAGTTCATGAAAACTTTAAAAAAAGAAAAATCAATTTCTTCTGGGAAGGATGTTACTTTGAATTTTGAACTTGTTTGGTTTTGAATGACCTCAGCCTCTACCTGTACACTCATTTTTAAAATGTAGTTGATCATAATGAATTATTCCTGAAATGGCAACACAAACAGTACCTCCACGACGTATGAAAACTGCAAAGAAAGAGCTGCTAATTGTGATTTGAGGTAATTTTTTTAATGGCCAGTCCTGGCCATTTTTTATGACTCCCAAATGAATTTCAGTCTGAAAAGGTTTGGAAATCAAGGTGATAAACAATACATCTAATTGCTGTGTTAATATTTTACACACCCTTAAATTTTTGGTTTCATATAATTTAAATTTCACTTTAAAATGAATAAATAATTGACCCCAAGGCAACTGCCAGAGCCGAGGGCATCCCTGTTGGAAAGGAAGGCTTGAGACCTGGGTGGCTGGTGGGTACCTTGCTCTGCTTCTTCCTGAGACCTGCTCCATTCATGGAACCAGAGAAATGGAGAACTGTGCTTTCTGCAACAAAGCACTACTTTGTTTCTTTTCATAAGTGGTACATATATTTTAGCTTTCAAAATAATCTCTTTTCTGGAACAAAAACAATCTTCCTTTTAAATTTATGACCTCCTTTAAAGGGCTTGATTGTCAAACTAAAAGTTAGTTAATGTCTTGCCTTCAATAAAGCTTGATTAAAGCTGAAAGATATAAGAGTTACAAAATCAGAAGAAATAGAAAAGCAGCACCGGATTTTTAACCTAAATCTCAGCAAGTGTCTGGAAAGTAGGATTTTCTAGAAAGAATCAAATGGTAGTTATTCTTTAATGCAATGTATTTATACTGTTTTGTAATTCCCTTGCACCAGCAGAAAAATAATATTTCTAAGTTGAAAAAGAGGGTGAAAAGATATAACATACAGACTTTGTTAATGTTTTTAAAACCTCAAAGGATTATGTTTTGTAAAAAAATTTGTAAAGTAAACAACTTTGAACTTACCTTTAAAATGTATCATAAATGGTTATACCTGCTAAATAAATGCTGTATTATCTTTGAAGTTAAAACCCAGAATTTAACTGAAAACTAAATGAAGAATTGAGACTCTTTTTTTTAAATTTGTTTAATGAACCTACTTCAAGTTTAGAAAAATGCATCAAATTAAAAACAACCCTCAATTTGGACTGCAACACAAAAACACCCACAGACCTCAGGAAATCCCAGGCTCATTCACCTTGACCTTTGGCCTCTCACACATTCTAACATTCAGCTTTCTTCCCTCTGTCCATCTGCTTGAACCATTAGTGAAGTTCTTTTGCAACGGCTCACACCAGTAAGCCAGCTGTCATCGGAGCATATTTAAACTCTGCCTCTTAGTTTCCACTGAATCATGTGTTTGCCCACAGGTCTCATTAAATACAGGGAAGGGCAGTAGAGCAGTTTTAAAATGCTCTAGGGGAACAAACTGTCTATATAAAAGGGGAGTCCAAAGGCCCTTGAACTAATTTGCTTGCTTACATTTTTTCTTTTCCATCTACCGAGAAGTTTTTTATAGAAAAACAAGATAAATAAAAAATATAGGCAAGGTGAATCTATAGCATAAAGAACAATAGATACATTAATAAAAGAAAAAAAACTCCCTTTAAAAATCAGTTCCTACTGATGTGATTCTGCAATCTGTATATGGGGTAAAAATGGGAGCTCATAACCCACTTGAATCAAATTGTGAAATATGATATATCAAGAACTATGTAATGTTTTGAACAGCCAACAATAAAAAATTAAAAAAAAAGATAAAAATAAATATAAATAAAAATAAAAATCAGTTCCTTTAAAAATTAATTCTAAAAAAAATAAAACCACAAAAGATTGCTATACAAGCTCCCATTGCTTGATTTGATTTAGGAAATAAATGAATCATTTGTGATAATTTCCTGATCCTACTACCAAGAGCCTAGTAGAGGAGGCAATTCAAGAAAATGGTTAGATGCAAAGTCAGAGTTGTCAAACCTACTGCTTAGAGGTTAATTGAACTGTCTTTAAGGAAAGCCCAAGAAAGCAAATGAAAATGTGTTCACTTCCGTATCATGGAAAGGGATGAAACACTGGACTTCTAAATGGAAGATCTGAAATTTAAAGGTCCATTTTGAGAGGTAAGGCCAGGAAGCAATTAGCATTAGGTAAACCTGAAAATTAGATTGTATATCAGGGCATTTGGGGTTTCCATTTTTCATAGATGCTATGCAGATATTTTGGCTAGTCTCCTAAGTACTTTTCATTTTCCCTTCCATCAGCCCCAAATCAGACTATAAGATCAGTCACAATGAATATTAACCAGGGCACACTCTGCTAAAGCCAGCCCATCAACAGGATGATTAGAAACACAAATCAAAGAGCAAGGCTAAGGGGTTTCACTAGAACATCCATGGAACGGCCATTGTATGTGCGTCTAAACCAATATGTTCTACTTCAAAGACAACATTCGCAGTGACATTCCCCAATCTCTGTGAATGAGTCACAGCGCTGATGGCTCAGAACTTTCAGGCTCTCTCTGCATTTTGGTTTCTCTCTTCCTCTCTTTGTAAGGCACACTTGTATATTTAAGGGACCTGGTACCTTCTGCATCCAGTCACCACTTACTGCAAATTAATGTGTCAGCATCTTCATAGAGTAAGTTATTTCACATAGAAATCCTTTCTGCACTATACATACACTTTAATTTGAATTTGATTTATGGTTCTTTGTGTTTATACATTATTTTTCTTGATTACTTGGGAACAAATTCTCCATAGGAATTTTCAAGATTGGTGGGCAAGTGCAATCTACCTCTTCCCCTTCTCTCATATTTAAATTTCTGCCCTTAAAAAGTTGGACTTCCTCTGGATGTGTGAACTAACCTAGTGAAAGGGTGTATCTTCTCTTTCTGACCTCTACTCCTGAAAGGATGAATATACAAACTGACAAATCCTACATCAAATACAAAAGTAGCACTCTGACCCACACCTGCAGCCACCTGCTCAGCAAACCTTATCTCTAACAACTAGCCACGAAGCTAGCCAGCTGTAAGTCAGACCTGTAAGAAGTCAGACTGTTATCTCTAGGAACAATCCAGGAAGCACAACAAGCTCTGTAATAATTGGCCCCAAATGGCCAGTATTTGACAACTACCTTAATCTGGTCCCTACTTTCAACTTGGAAAGTACTAGAGAAAGCCAAGTATGCACCCCTATCAATCACATAGAATGCCTTATTTCAAGTTGTCCCACATACAGCTTCCCCCTAATCAGGGCACACTTAAAGGCTTCCTTTTTTCCTACTATGAAGCTGTCCCAGTCTGTCTGCATTTGAGTCTCTGTAGAAAGGCATGTAATGATGGGTGACTCCTTTGCCATAGCAAGCTCTGAATTCATAACCTTTGCTTATTCCGATTTGGTTGGTCTTTGTGTATCTTACACTTCTAAGGAGAAATAAATGAATCTGAGCCTTGAGTTTGTACCTTGGCTAAAGCATGTTTTTTAAAATCTTTTTGGAAATAACTGAACTCATACACATTCAGTAAGCTCTGTACTTATGTGTCTTTTCTTCCTGCAATTTCTAGGCATATCCTCTATCTGCCAAAACCCCAGAGGGGAGAAGGTTAGTGGTACCTCCTATCTCAACCCATTGATGTGCCACATGGAGTTCATGGGATATGCGTTCAGGCACTAGCATTTTGGGCCAATTGTCCACCAACAGGTAAGTAAATGAAAACTTTTTCACTTGATGTAGACGGTCATAGCACCACAGATCTACCTGACTTTAGACAGTGGCTGCAACAGTTGACTTTGGCTCCTGTGGGTCTAGTTGGTTTATATTGTGGCCACAACTTTTGTGGCAGGCTAATATTAGATTAGCAGAATTTGAATGCCAGAGGGGATGGGGTATCAAATACATAAATTCTATATTATAAGTTTAGCACACCAGTGTTTCAGATTTGGAAACTTTAAATATTTTCTATCAAGTGTTTCATAACTCAGTGGCATTTGGTAGCTCTTGGATTCATCCTGTTATTCCCTGTCTCCATGGGTACTCAGTACCAGAGGTATTTAATGTGTAAGGTTATTAATTTGCATAAGTACTAGCCTAAATAAAAAAATGGACACTTGAGAGAAAGTTCTTAACTCCCTTTCTCACCACAAATCCCATTAGAGTGAACCTGGAGAAGCATATTAGAAAACCAGGGACTGGAACCTAGAGAAAAGGAAGAGACTAAAGAGGATGCAGATGGTATTTGCCCTATCCATGGCAGTAAAGAAACAGAATTATTTTACGAAATGTCTTAAACTTTTAAAGGCTATGTGGGGCCCACTTGAAAGATGGGGAAAAGAACCCTACAGAGTAAAAAAACAGAATGTTTCTGCTGACCTTCAAAGAACACACATTTCCAAACAACTTCAAATGAGATGGAAAGCAAACATTTAGAAAAAGACAACATAATGAAGGTTTATGAATCCTTACAGTGAAACTGAGGACACAGCAATCAGAATTATCACTAATGTCTTTAGTGCAAGAATTTGATGGACAAAATGAGGGGAACACAATGGAACATTCCTTTGAAAATGTGATATTTGAGCCAAAGATTTCCCAGAAAAAAGGCAGTGAAAGCAGTCATGGAAGCACAGAGAAAAGAAGTCCAGAGGATCTTGCTTCAGGAGATCCTGCAGAGGATGGAAAGGCAGAGCAAATGTCAGATAAGTATGTGGAAAAGCTAGCCCTTTTGAATATATCTTTGAATAATGCTCAAAGAGATGTGCTGTATGTCATGGTTACAAGAAAAATTAACACCTGTGATCACTGAAGAGAAACTCCACTGTGTCAAAACCAATATTCCAGGAACACAAAAAGAAAATCAAAATTTAGTGGGTTTAAGCATGTTAGTGAGTCCTAAGGGGAAGAAGGTAGCCTTGGAAGTTGAATATGGAGAATGTGACCATTTTGTAAGAAGACAAGTCTGTCTCAAATGCCAATTTTTGGTATAAGATGCCATAAAAACAGGAGGATTTGTTTTCCTACATATGGAATAAATAATTACATATAACTTACTGAAAATTTTTCCCAAATGAATTTTAACTTTCAAGTCATAAAACTAAAATAATAATAATAATAATAATAATAATAATAATAATAATAATTGATCCAAAAAAAGGCCGAAAGCATGGTTTTCTTCTCTTTTCTCTTGCTTTTGCTTGGACAGTGCTTTTGTGCTGAGAGTTACATTGTCTTCAAGCTGTGTGTTACTATGGAGTTTGCTGTTATAGATGTTCTCTTGGTGCTTTGGAACTTTGAAAAGTCAAAATTGGAGGATCAGGATATATTCACCTTTGCAGACACTGAAGGACAGGTATCTATTATTCTACTGCCACCTATTCTATCAAGTTTCTATCATAGAACCAGGCTTTTGAATGGAGCTCTTCTTCATTTTTGCACACATTAGGCAAATAATTATTAAATACAAATGAGTTTCCAGGAATTGTTCTAAATTCTGGAAATGTAATGGTAAACAAAAATGCAGTCCTTAGGGAGATAAACAGTAAATAATCACCCAGTGAGTATACTTTCCAATAGAAATAAGAGTTTTAAAGGGGAAAAAAATCGTGGTGTGAAATATTTTATCAAAAGAACCTACATCAGGTTCTCTTAAGGAAATGTTATGAACTCTGAAATCTTCAAGAAGAGTAGAATTCACATTAATTGAGGGGGCGGGGGAGAGATTTCAAGACAGAAACAGTCTTAGATAGGGCTGAGATTCTGAGGATATGATCAAACCAGTTCTGGTGAAATGCAAAGAGAGACAGTGAGAGATGAAACCACACAGAGAAGCACTAGAGAAGCTGTATAAAGCTGTAGGGGCTAGGTTACAGAGTTGAGTCTTTAAGAACATTAAAAAGCCAATGGGAGGCATTAAGCAATGAGATGACAGGATCAAATTTGTTTGTGAAAAAGTTTACCTCCCAAACACAACAATTTGAAGATGCAAGAAGAAATGAAGCTGGAGGATGAATCCACTGACTTGAAATAGAACAGAGATGAACAAAGCTTAGAATAAGGTGTAAAATGGAGAAAAATTGATGATGTTAAAGATTTTTTAAATAGTTGGCAGGACTTGATTATAAACTACAGGTGAGTGTGGAAGTGTGGTTTCTGAGTTAATTGAATGGATAGGCACTGATGTAATTCATTGAGACAGGCAGCACTATACAAAGAGGGAGATTGGAGGAGAGATCGTAAATTTAATCTTGACTTCGAGGAATCTTTGCAATGTCTAATGCCAAGTAATCACAATATATGAGTCAGGATCTCTGATGAAAGTTTTCTGCTTATGGTTGCATTATTACAGGTCAGAAATCAAGCCATGGGCATAAATGATAATTGCCTAAGGAGCAACTAATAGTGAGAGCAAGGGGCATGGGACTGAGGCTCATGGACCTCTACAGCAAACGTCCAGATGGCTAAGGTTGAGCTTTCCTTCAAGGTGAAATGTGACTGGGAAAGGGAGGGAAGCGGAAAATCAGAGGAATATGGGTCCTAAGCCTCTTAAAGATTGGTTTCCATGATGTGAGGGTATTTCAAATAGAAAGTTGACTCTCATTTCAGATGTTTCTGATTATGTGAGAAGGATTTAATGATATGGAAGTCAATGGTGATCAAATGGAGAAGCTTTAATTTAAGAAATAGGCCAGATTGGAGTTGGTGGAGAGGTGACAAATTTAAGCAATGAATTTAGAATACTTTTTAAAATAAAGTTTACTTCAAAAGGAAAGAGATAAATAACCTTTTATTAGAGCTTTACGGTCATACATAGTAGTTAGGTTACTTTTTGACATATTCATACATGCATAGAAATTGATTTCAGTTCATGACCCCCCTTTTTCCCTCCCCTTTTCTCTACTTTCCTCCCCCCCTCCCCGACTTTTCCTTCCTCTAGTCTACTCAACTTCCTTTCACTTGTTTATTAATTTGTATTTGAGTGGTTGCTTATGTAATCTTTTTCTTCCCTCCCCTTTTTAAAATTTTACTCTAGCTTCTGCGTATGAGAGAGAACATTTTATCTCTGAGTTTGACTAGTTTCACTCAGCATGATATTCTGCATTTCCATCCATTTACCGGCAAATGCCATAATTTCATTCTTTAATGGCTGGTAATATAGATAGATAGATGATAGATAATTAGATAGATAGATACCACAGTCTCTTAATCCATTCTTCTATTGATAGACATCTGAGTTGATTCCATAATTTGACAATTGTGTTGCTATATACAGTGATGTGGATATGTCACTGTAGTATGCAGATTTTAGATCTTTAAGAAAATACCAAGCAGTGAGATAGCTGAGTAATATGGTGGTTCCATCCATAGTTTTTTGAGGAATTTCCAAACTTCTTTCCAGAGTGGTTGTACTTACTAGTCTGCAGTCCCACCAACAATGTACATGTGTTCCTTTCTCCCCACGACCTTGCCAAACTTGCCACTTATTTTTGTTTGTGCTCTTGATCATTGTCATTTTGACTGGGGTGAGACGAAATCTTAATGTAGTTTTAATTTGCATTTC